CTTCCTGGAGAAATAGGTCAACATCGCTATTTGATGGTTTGCATTTCAGTTTAGAAACTGTTTCTGTGTCTATAGGTGTGCTTTTTGGTAAAAGTTTCTAGGGGCTTCCCTGGTGGCGCAGTGGTTAAGAATCCGTCTGCCAATGCAGGGGACACAGGTTCGATCCCTGGTCCAGGAGGATCCCACATGCCACAGGGTAACTAAGCCCGTGCGCCACAACTACTGAGCCTGCACTCTAGAGCCCGCGAGCCACAACTACTGAGCCCACGTGCCACAACTACTGAAGCCCGTGCGCCTAGAGCCTGTGCACCGCAACAAGGAGTAGCCCTTGCTTGCCGCAACTAGAGAAAGCCCGCGTGCAGCAACAAAGATCCAACGCGGCCATAAATAAAGAAATCTATTAAAAAAACCAGATTCTAACTACAGAGAGATCTGAGGGCTCTATTTCATTAGCTGGGTCGCTTAACAAACTCCTACAAGGAAATTAGAAGAAAGGTGTGTCTACTCTTTCCAAGTAGAAGACAGACACACAAAGGTCCTAACTGACTTTCTGCGACTCGCACCACCCGCGGGACAGAAGGAGACCAAGGTGTTCTGACGCTCCAGGCTGCGGCGGCCACTCCACCTTATGCAGCCGCGCTCCCCTGATCCGTGGCCAAGTCGCTCTGCTGTCACCTCCTCAACGTCCCTGCAGCCCGCACGGCGGCGCCGTCTGTCCCACCAGCTCGCTTCCGAGACACGGCTTTTACCCGGCTCTCCTCCCTTCTCTGTCCTGGGCTCTCTTTTGTGCTGAGGGTTCTCTCTGAGCAACACTCAGTGGGATCACAGCTACGCTGAGACGGCGGGCACAGAAAGCGTGGGCTGAGTGCTGCACGGCACAGGCACAGCTCAGGACCCACCAGGCCACACGGGCACGTGCTGCTGGGGCTGCATGCAGATCTCCAGGAACCTGGGCGTGTGACCTCATCTGGAAAAAGGATCTTTGCAGGTGTAGCTAAGGAGCCTGTGATGAGATCACCCTGGGCGATCTGGGCGGGACCTGAATCCAGCGACAAGTGTTTTTACAAGAGATACTCAGAAAAGAGACACAGAGAAGAGGGTCACGTGGAGACAGAGGCAGAGACTGGAGGGATGCTGCCGCAAGCCATGGAGTGCCGGGAGCCGCGGAAATTGAAGAAGAGGCGAGGAAGGAGGAGGGATTCTCCCCTCCAGCCTCCAGAGGGAGCCTGGCCCCGCCGACACCCGGACGGCGGCCTTCTGGCCTCCAGGACCGTGAGAGTAACTGTGATAATTTATCACAGCCGCCACCCGCACAATAACACAAGGACACATGCGCCCACCCCGCCCCTCCCCACTCACACCAAGTCACGCAGCAGAGAAGTGGAAAGGGAGCGGCAGCAGCGGGGCGCTGGTGGTGGCCTCGCGGTCCCCACGCCGGGTGCGCGGGCTGGGGACGGCAGCACAGGGCCCCGCCGAGGGTCACTCACACAAGCGATCTTCAGGAGGTTCCAGAGCTCCTTCTGCCGCTTCTCCTGCAGCCGAACCACAGTCTTCTCATCCTCGCTCATTAAGCTCACCACCTCCTCCACCTTGGGCAGCAGCTCCAGAGCCTTCTGCTTGCAGACCACAGTCTTACTGTGAAGAACAAACATGACAAGCTCCAGTGGCACATGGGCCGGAGGAAGTAGGACGCAGCCCCCGGCAGTTAAGGCTCCGCTCGGCTGCTGCAGGTGGAGGTCCCGCGGGGCTCAGGTGAGTGGGCGAGGCCTCGCACACAGCCCGCCGCCCGTCCTCACTCCACCCCACCGGAGGGAAGGCGGCCTGATACCTGAGCTGCGTATAGATCACTCGCACTTTCTTCTCAAAGCCTTGGATTGCCTGCAGGAGCAGCCGTACCATTTCCTGACTGTCGCCATCAGTTCGCTGGTCTGCAAAGAGGGACGGGGTCGCACGGTCCACGGGGGGCTGGCCTGGTGCCCGGGTAGCGAGGGACCCGGGAGGTGGCCCACTCACCTCGGGGCTTCTCCCTCAGCCTCCGGTAAAGCTCCCGTGCCTGCTCTTCGCTGAAACACACGAGACAGCAGCTTTGTCAGCATCGAGCAGAGGTCAACAAGCTCACCTGAAGCGCCGGGGCCAACTCCTGCCGGCAGGGCTACTGATTTCTAGAAGCCAGACGGGCAGCACATCCCGACTGGAGCAAACGATCGTTCCTGGTGATGTTACAGGTGAAATCCACGACAAGGGAAGGCTCGCCTCATTATCAAAACTCAAACACCTCCAAAGTCTAGTGAGAATCTTCAGGACAGGAGTCTCCTCTGAATTCCCTGCCCGCCCGGCTCCTGCCATCGGGACTCTGGGTGCAGTCTGTTGCTGGACCTGAGCCCGGAGAACGCGGCCCCCGAAAACTCAAGCCCAGGAGCAGACACAGACGCCCTCCCCGCGCCCCTAACACAGTGAGACGGGCTGACATTTTCAGGGGTGACTTTCGTTTGAAAACCAGAGGAGAATAAAGGGTTAAATGACTTGAGAAAATATGGACTACAAATAACTAAATTTCTGATGTTTGGCGTCTGGTCCTAAGAATCCTAGTAGAAGTGTCAGAGGACACGGCTGAGCCCAAGGAGGTAGCTCCTGAGGGGCCCCGAGGCTCACCTGCCCCTCCTGTCCACTCCCAGGGCTGCAGGCGGGGCTGCTCTGCCTAGGTACCCCCTGCACCGCCCCCCCGCCCGGAGCCAAGGCCAAGTTCCTGATCAAGACTCAAATGAACTTTCCAGATCCCACCTTCTAAGACCTGCCAGGCTCCTCCCCTGTTCTACTTTCTGCTCCTCGGGCCACAGCGAGGGAGGGTGGGCTGGGCGGCCCTGGCGCCTAATCTGATACTTTGGTCAAGAGAAGGCTCCTGGGACGGCAGCCTCCGTAGTTCACGAGCCACCGCTGGGGGCGTTATCTGAACTGGTCCCCATAACTGCGAGGTCAGACAGCACTTCTCTATCCTGTGAGGCTCAGAGTGACGGAGGTGTGCCCGTGCTCATCTCTGCATGTACCGAGATGACCCCCCAGGGGCCGAGCTCCAGGGGGAACGGGCCCACGGGGCTCCACCGGGACTGCACTCGAACCATCCCGACACACACACTCACACCCACACACACAGAGACACACTCACACAGATACATTCCCATACAGGCTCACTCTCACACAACACACGCTCACACACACATACATACACGCGCGCATGCGCGCGCGCGCGCACACACACTCACAGGTCGTCCAGCGTCCCGCCCTGCTTCCGGCCCAGGGGGCTGCGCTGCAGGTCCACGATGTCCGTCTGTAGCGCCATCATCCGCTCCACCAGCTGCTTCACCTCGTTCTCCTGAAGGAAGAGCG